ATTTGAAAAAATAAAAACAAAAAGAACAAAAGTCTATATTAGCTGAACTTATTAAATCTGGTTTTCTATTCACATCTAATTTTTAATCTTCTTTGACGATTACAAATAAATGACTGCTAAATTTATACAACAAATTTAAACTTTATATTTTAAGCTATATTTATTTTTTCAAACAGTTAATACTGCTAATTAAGCAGTAAAAGAAAGTTGAAGAAACTGAATGTTTATTTTCAGTTTATAGCTGTTTCGGGTTCTATATTAACGGATTACGAAGAATGTGTAAAGAAAAACGGATTTGGTGACAACGAGCTGGTCTGTGATCCGGATAATCTGCTGTTGAATAGCACAAAAGAACACCTAAGATCGTTGTTGGCTGTACTGCAGGAAAAGGTTCACTGCGAATGCGCTCAAGGATGTCATCGAGACAACGGAAATGACAAGTTGGTTGAACTGTCGTTCTTGATTCTTGTTCTTCCAGCAATCATGCTGATAGTTTTGGATTCTGATAACGCTGATACTGATGCTATTGCTACAGACCATAATGATATTTCGTATTTCCAATGATAGACATTTTTTCTTCTTTTTTGATAAACCTGTTTCGATTAAAGAAATAAGAAAAGACGATATGTTTTTTCTTGGCTTTTTCGATTTTAGCTGAACAAATAACAGTAGTTATACAGAGTATTTGTTATCAAAAAAAAAAAAAAAAAAGGGGAGAAAAAGAAGCTAATCTAGTTGAGAGTGATTACAATGAAAAATTAACCGTTGATATTAGCAACATAAAAAACAGTATCACTAATACTGTTCTTCAATTTTGACTATCGGTGTACTTTAGTGTTGCTTCAAAAATTGTATCTAAAATAGATGAATAAATAAAGAAAAATTTTGGGAAATACAAATTTCACTGAATAGAAATTTTTAATTGAAATGGTTGATTTGAAAATTTTTAACGATTTTCTAAATGATTTTTTTAAAATTGTTGTTGTTGTTGTAAGACAATGATTGGTTTTATCTGTTTATTGTTCAGTAATTTATGCTGCAGTACTAATTAGCAGAAAGAAGAATTTTTTGCTTTCTACTTCTTATGTTATTTATTGCAGCTATACCGGTTTGTTGTTGGTGACGACAACAGAAAAAATTGAGGTTTCCGACAGAAGCCTTGAAGAGTTGACAAAACAGATCTATGAAAATGCAAATTTGGGTAATCAGGATTGCGATAATGGCATATTGATCATCTATATTCGAGACAAAAAACAGGTATATTGAATTAATTTTAAAAAAATTTCTTCTTTTATTAGACATTACAGTACTGCTATTTTTCTGTATAGTTTGTTCAAAAAAAAAAA